GGATCAGGGAATTGATCTGGCAACCTCTCAGTGCATGGGTTGACGCTCATTGAGCCACACCGGCTGGGCTATTTCTTGTCTTTTTGATAATAGTCTTTCTAACAGGTGGGAGGTGATACTTCCTTGTGGTTTTGACTTGCATTCTCTTGATGATTAATGATGTTGAGCACCTTTTCATGTACCTGTTGGCCATCTGTATGTCTCCTTTAAAAAAAGTATATTTATTCTCTGGCCCATTTTAAGTTAGATTGCTTGTGTTTTTATTATTGAATTGTATGAGTTCTTTATATATTTTGGATATTAACCCCTTAGCAGATATATGATTTGCAAGTATTTCCTCCCATTCAGTAGGTTGCCTTTTTATTTTGCTGCTGGTTTCCTTTGCTGTGCAGAAGCTTTTAGTTTGATGTAGTCCCACTTGTTTATTTTTGCTTTTGTTGCCAAAAATATCATCACCAAGATCGATGTCAAGGAGCTTAATGCCAGTTTTCTTCTAGGAGTTTTATGGTTTCAGGTTTTACCTTCAAGTATTTAATCCATTTTGAGTTAAATTTTGTATATGATATAAGGTAGTGGTCCAATTTTATTAATCGTGTGGGTATTCTTTTATTCTTTTGCATCTGTCCAGTTTTTCTAACACCATTTATACAAAAGACCGTCCTTTTCCCACTGTATATTCTTTATTGTAAATTAATGTACCATATGTATGGGTTTATTTCTGGGTTCTCCATTCTGTTGCATTGATTTATGTATGTTTTTATGCCAATACCATACTGTTTTGATTACAATAACATTATAATATAGTTTGAAATCAGGAAGTGTGATGCCTCCAGCTTTGTTCTTCTTTCCCAAGGTTGCTCTGGTTATTCAAGATATTTTGTGGCCCCAAATACATTTTAGAATTGTTTGCTCTATTTCTGTGGGAACAGACATTGGAATTTTGATGAAGTTGCACTGAATCTATAGGGTGCTTCAGGTAGTAGGGCAGTTTAACATAAATATTAATTTTTCCAATCTGAGCACAAAATATTTTTCCATTTATTTGTGTCTTCAGTTTCTTTCATCAATGTCTTACAGTTTTTATTTGTACAGGTCTTTTACCTCTTTGATTAAATTTTATTCTTATTGGTGCAATTGTAAATGGGATTTTCTTCATTTCTTTTCTAGCTCTTCATTAGTGTATAGAAACACAACAGATTTTCATATATTGATTTTTGTATCCTGCAACTTAACTGAATTTTTTTATTAGTTATAACAGTATTTTGGTGGAGTCTTTATAATATATATATATATATATATATATATATATATATATATATATATAATCTGCAAATAGTGACAGTTTTACTTTTTCCTTTCCAATTTGTATGCCTTTTATTTTTTTTTCCTGCCTAATTGCTCCGGCTAGGATTTTATGTTGATTAAAAGCAGTGAGAGTGTACATCGTTGTTTTGTTCCTGATCTTAAAGGAAAAGCTTTCATCTTCTCACCATTGAGTATGATGTTAGCTGTGGGCTTATCATACATGGCTTTTATTGTGCTAAATTTTGTTTCCTCTATATTCACTTTGTTGAGAGTTTTTATCATGAATGGATATTGAATTTGTCAAATGCTTTTTCTGCATCTATTGAGATGATCATATGATTTTTATCCTTCACGTTGTTAATGTGGTGTATCACATTGCTTTGCTCATGTTGAGACATGCTTGCATTCCTGGAATAAATACCACTTGATGATGATGTATGATCCTTTTAATGTATTGTTGAATTTGGTTTGCTAATATTTTAAATTGAGAATTTTCTTGTAATGTTTAGTAGAATTCAGCAGTGAAGCCATATGGTCCTGGACTTTTGTTTGCTGGGAGGTTTTTTTGATTACTGATTCAATTTCTTATAAGTCTGTTAAGATTTTCCTTTTCATCCTGATTTAGTCTTGATAGGTTGTATGTTTCTAGGAATTTATTCAGTTCTTGTAGGTTGTCCAATTTGCTGGCATATAATTGTTCATGGTGGTTTCTTATGATCCTTTATATTTCTACTAGAGGCCCAGTGCACAAATTCGTGCATGGGTGGGGTCATCCCTTGGCCTGGCTGGTGATCAGGGCCAATTGGGGTCAGCTGGCTGGGTGGAGGGATTGAGGGAGGTTAGCTGTGGGAGCACACTAACACCAGGGGGAAGCTCCTGCGTTGAGCGTTTGCCCCGTGGTCAGTGCACGTCATAGCTATCAGCTGGTCCTCCGGTCGTAAAGGTCACTTAGGCTTTTATATATATAGATGGTATCAGTTGTAACGTCTCCTCTTTCATTTATGATTTTGAGTCCTCTCTTTTCTTGGTGAATATAGGTAAGGTTTGTCCATTTTGTTTATTTTTTTTAAAAGCTATTAGTTTCATTGTTCTTTTTAAGTAGTCATTTTAGTCTCTATCTCATTTATTTCTGCTCTGATCCTTGTTATTTCCTTCCTTACACTAATTTGGGCTTAGTTTGTTCTTTTTCTAGTTCCTTGAGGTGTAAAATTAGGTTGTTCATTGGAGATCTTTCTTGTTTCTTAATGTCAGTACTTATGTGTATAAACTTCCCTCCTGGAACTGCTTTTGCTGCATCCCGTAAGTTTGGGTATGTTATATTTCCATTCTCATTAGTCTCCAGGTATTTTTTAATTTCTCTTTTGATTTCTTCTTTGACTCATTAGTTGTTCAGTAAAATGATGTTTAACCTTCACATATTTGTGAATTTTTATTTTCTTGTAATTGACTTCTAGTTTAATATCATTGTAGTTGCAAAAGATGCTTGATATGATTTCAATCTTCTTGCATTTATTAAGACTTGTTCTGTGACCTAATATATGACATATCCTGAAGAATGTTCTATATGTGCTTGAGAAAAATGTGTATTCTGTTGCTTTTGAATGGAATGTTCTATATATCTGTTAGGTTCATCTGATCTACTGTATCATTTAAGACTACTGGTTCCATATTGATTTTCTCACTGAATGATCAACCCATTGATGAATGGGGGGTATTAAAGTCCCCTACTATTATACAGTTGTCTATTTCTCCCTTTAGGTCTGTTGATATTTGCTTTATATATTTAGGTGTCTCTATGTTGAGTGCATAATTATTTACAAAATATTATATTCTCTTGGGTTGACAGCTTTATCATTATGTAATGCCCTTCTTGTCTCTCATTGCTCCTGAGGACTCCAGCCAGCCTAGTACACTTCTGCAGTTCTCACTTAACATATCTGGGAGGGGCAGCAAGGAATCAAAACCTAATTTAGAATTGCAGAGGTTAAAAAATCTCAACATATAAGTTGTAGGCCTAAATATGTATAAAATATTCACAATGGATCCAGCCTCCTGTGCTTCAAGAAAAAAGGAGGAACTGAGGGAGGAATTAGCATTTTGGAAGTGTATCCTGTGTACTACATTTTAACTACAGCACATCACTTAACTTTTGTGTTGTGCTGAGAGTAGGTATAATTCCACTTGTTACATCTGAGGAAACAGGCTCAAAAATTGTTTTGCTAGTAATGACAGACTGTCCAGTGACTTTGATCGAATTAATGTAGTTTCTCTACACCTGATTCCTCACCTGTAACATGGAAAGACACCAGCTCCTCTGCAGAAGGTTAAAGGAGACGACATGTGTGTGCCCAGCTCCTGGCTGAGCACAAAGGGCACCAAACACGATGGGCTATTCCAGAGGCAGCCTGAGGGGCTTGAGGGAACAGGGCAGACAGGGTGAGGCTCTTGACTGGTGTCTGTTTTTCAAGCCTGAAAGCAGGAAGGGAGGCAAGTATCAGAGCGAGGCCTGGAAGGGGCTCTGCAGTCACCTGAGCTGAGGCCCGGTTCAGTCCTTGCCTCATGTGATTGCATGGTCACCTTAGTTACTGACCCTTGCTAAGCTTCCGTCCCTCGACCGGAAAAAGGGGTAGCAGGAGGGAAATACCTTGGGGGGGGGTCCATGGGGATCAAGGAAGATTTTAGGGCTCCTTCCCCACTGCAGTTCTGGAGGTGCCTTCCAAGTTCTCTCTCTCTCTCTCTCTCTCTCTTTTAATCAGAACAATTTATTCAGGATGGTCATAAGTAAATTGTTCTGGCAGATATATTTTTTTTTAATTCACCAATTCTATTTCAGAGCAATCCCATTATCCCTTTACTATCAAAATAAAAGTTTTACATTTGATGTTTCTACTTCCTCCATGTTGACTCTTCACCCCACTATAATCTGGTTGATGCATCTCCTACTCTAATGAAATGTAGCTTTCAAGTTCTCCAGTAATCTCTTAATTACCTCTCGCTTTCTACCTTCCAGCATCTCCTGTAGCTTTTCACCTTGGCCAGTGGCCTAGAAGTCATTCCTCCCTGCAGGAGTTAAAACTAAGATGGAGGGGCCCCTCTATACATCTTTTTAAGGCCCTTCTCAGTTCTCTAAAGGAGCCAAAACTTTCCTGTGACCCCTAAAAAGACCCCACACTTTATCTCCTCAGGATTGCCACTGTAACTTCTGAGCATCCAAAGAGCCCGTTTGGAAGGGAAAGCGGGCCGAATGTCACCGAGCAGAAAAGTACCGCGAGGAGACCAAGGGTCTTGCTGTTTTAACAATTGTTTTTGGTAGAAACTGTCTTACACACACACACACACACACACACACACACACACACACACACACGGTTTAGCAGGAATTGGTGGAAAACAACTGGGAGGAAGTACAGCTGTTCCCTCTGAGGAGCTCGCCGGGGGAAGGCAGGCCTGGGAAGAGGGGGTGTTCCCCGGGTGGTGACATACAGCATTCCTTTCACTTGAGGCAGCTGAGCCGAGGAGCTGCAGTCTCCCCTTGGGAATATGACTTAGCCGGGAAGGGCCTCACACACAGACCTGTGTCCCCACGTCCTTCTCCAAGAGAAACCCCTTCCCGTCCTGTGTGCGCGAACTCCCGCCCCAGCAGAGGCTCCGATACCGCCCCATCTCTGGCCCAACAAACAGCCCAAAGTCAGCGATCTCGTAGGATGTGTTTATATTTACACGGTACATTTTAAAGCAATGGCTACATTGGTCATACATATTAGAAACCATAAAAAAAAGTTAAGAACTTAAAATGTACATCATACACTTGTATATATATTTTTTACACAGAGGTAAAAAGGGTTATTATAAAAAAATCAATACAACAGGGTTTTTAGTATACAGGTAAAGAATGAATGATGCTTCAGGCACTTTAATTTGTTAATGTGAGCAAATAGCTTGGGGGGGCGGGGGGGAGGGCGCGGGTGTCGGGAGAAGCTTCCAAACAGATAATCTTTTGGTTAATGTTTTTGTTACCACAGATACAAAAATAAAATCTGAATAATTTCTTTCAAATGATTGACGTCAGTATGGCAAAGCTGACTGGGAAAATACTACACACTGTTCAGCTGCAGTGTGGCGATGAGAGAGAGACGTATTTACATAAATGTCCCCATGGCTGTCCTTGTGCCCTTCACCGCTACCTTCACAAACCAAAAAGCATAGGCAGAGTTAAGATTCACTGGCATAACTCTTCAAAGGGGTGGACCAGGACAGGGGGTGAAGGGAGAGAGAGACAACAAAATAGAGCCACAAACAAGCGGGGGTATGTGTATTCTTACTGAAATAAATAGGGGCACTGGAACTGAGGTCTAACAAAACATACATTAGTGTTGTGCTTTGTAGAGAGGAGACCTTGAGAAAGGCCTTGAGGAAAACCCTCAGGGCGTGGGGGTGGTCTCTCAACATCGTTGGGAGGCTGGCTGCGGTTCCCTAGATGTTCCCCAGGCAGGGAAGCAACGCTCTTTTCTCCCATCACCAGACTGACAACTCTCTGGTCCCTTTCCAGACCCAAAGGCCCAAACCAGTCACTCCAACCAATGAAAACGTCTACCGACTAACTCAGAAGCACAGAGGGCATTTGCACCGATGATCTGACTCAAGAAGTGCGACGGGCTCTCAGGAGAGCTGAAAACATTCCACGAAGGTAAGCACGGCTAGCACTTTCCCGTACGATGGGAAGATTGGAAAAAAGTCCCTTTCCTTGAGGACTGGTGTCCTGTGTGCCATAGAGAAGGGAGGAGGAAGCGAGGGGGGAGGGAGCAGGCCATGCCCTCAGCGGGCAGTTACCACGGGAAGATCATGGCGGGAAGAACAGTGTTTGACAAACCTGCCCCTGTGTTCTCCACGTCGTTCTGATTGTACTATGCTGGGCACAGGGAAACCATTCTTTACTTTTCTTCTTTCTGCCCTAAGATTTGGCTATTCCTTGCAATAGATTAGAAAAATACTCTTTTCCAGCTAATTCGAAGCCTCCTACGTGGCAAGGCGACAGGGAGCCCTAGCCTGCTGACTCAACCATCTGTGCACACCAAGTGGCAAGTCTGGGTGTGGAGTTGCAGGAGAAAGACACTTAGGCATCGGAGGGGTTTTTACATATGGCCTTGTTTTTTCCTAAGTATAAATGAAGAATTTGGTGACGTGAAATTGAGTCCAAAAGAAAAACACAAATCCACGTGCGAAATGCAGCCCACCACTCCTCAAATTTACAGCATTTAGAACTTCCCCCGTTAACAGAAAACCCCCATTGGGGAGAGGGGAGCTCCTTTAATTTTATTTACCGGAACCTCAGTGTTTCCCAACACTGGTTTGTGTTTGAAGAGAGTATTTGGTTTCCAAAACAGCAAGCAAATTTTTTTACTTTATTAGCATTTTCTTCCAATATTGCTAAATTTTTGGAAGTGGTGGCGACACAATTTTTAAAAAGTCCTACCTTAGGGGTAACTGGGGAGACTCAGGGAAATCCGGAAATCTCCTTTCTAGCCCTGGCTAGAGAGGATGTGATGCAGTTTAAGGAATTTTCCTGATTCTCCCAAGTTAATCTGAAGTTAAGGCTCGATTCTTAGTCATTTTACGGGTGAATGTTTGCATCCTGAAGAACTGGCAGATTTGGGGGCGGGGGCAGAAAATGATGATGGGCTCATGATAGAAACTGCGGCTTACATGGGAAATTTGGCTTTAGAAAAGTTAGAGCGATCTTGTTTGTCAGCTAGCTCACCTCCTAGACAGAGCAACTACCGTGGGGTTAAAATACTTCTGGTTGGGTTTCCTCGTTCTGACATCACACTTCCAGGAACCCGGTGATGCTTGTTGGCAACAGGCAAGCTGAGCCAAGAGAAAGATAGTCTTCGATGCTCTTGGAAAACCAACTACAAGACCCATCAAAAAAACCAAAAAAAACAGTTCCGACTGCAGGTGCCTTTGAACTGGAAGAGGTGGGCAGGAAATCAACACAGGTATAAGACAGTTAGCTTGATTACAGATTATTAATACACGAGTCTATGTGGGGGAGGAGGGGTCCTTTCTTTAGAACACTGTGCGCAGGGATGGATGAGTGGCTGGGAGGTGCAGAGTCCACCGGAGGGTTCCCCAGGCTGGAATGGCGCCCCAGGTCCCAGGGGGGAGGATGAGAGTGTGTGGGAGACAAGTTCCCCGGTGGCCGTGGACGGAGCGGAGGGCGGGGCACAGAGTCACACGGCGGCTTTGTGCCTGCCCCCGCAGCACCTGCACATCACTCCGCAGTGGTAGCAGGCCCGAAGGGGCAGGTAACAGCACATACAGGGGGCCAAGAAAGACAAGGCAATAAGAGCCATCCACCGGAGGCAAAACTTCTCGTCGCTAGTGTCGCACGAGCAGGGGTCTGTATAGTCGCCCTCGGGGTCCGACATACAGTGATAGAGCAGGCTGTCCGCACACCACATACAGCTCACCCGGCGGATGCAAGTTCTCACGGAGTCGGGCGCGTCCTGGCAGTGGCCCCTCCGGTTCTCCTCGTGGTTGAACATGTCCCTGCAGTACTCGCACCGGGAGCGCTCGCCGTCCTCCTTCCGCCGCCGGGGTTTGCCCCGCGAGGGCTGGGTCTTGATCACGCCGCCCCCGCGCCCTTTGGGGTCCTCACCGAGGCCGAAGTCCGAGGAGTCCACGTAGGGGTAGTTATAGTCGTGCTTGGGGACCTCGCCCTTGGCGAAGCGCACGTAGGAGTCCGCGTCCTCGGCGGGGTCCAGGGCCTTGCGCACGGGCGCGTGCCGGTAGTCCTCGTAGCCCGTCACCCAGATCTTCTCCCGGGGGTTGATGCGCACGATCTCCTCGTCGTCGTCCGGGAAGCTCACCTGGCGGTAGGGCCGGGGCATCGGCTGCCCCAGGAGAAAAGAGACAGTATTTTACAGCAGTGGCATAAAAAGAGAAAAGAATCCAACATGTACCTTTCACCTTGACAGAGGCATTTCTGGAAGAAACTGACCCGTCCTGTAATGACTGAACATCTTATGGGTCAAAGATGGATTTCAAACTCTGAGTCTCAATCCATTCCTTGGTCGGGAATCAATTGAATGGGCAGAGACCAGCTTTTATCCTCCCCCTTGTTTTGATTACCATCTAGGTGGGAAAGTGTGCCCACTGTAAGAATAGTTGAATTTTCAGAAGCTGGACACACCCAGGTCAAGAAGCAGAAGGTGAGGCTGCCTGCTAGCCTGATTTCTGCCTGGTTTTGGACAGTATGTTCTCTGTTGTAGGGTCAGCTTTTTTTTTTTTCTTCTTCTTCAGTGAAATAGATGAATACTGGAGTACACTGCATGTTAGAAGGGTAAGTACTTTTCATAATCTATGTATATACAATACGTGAACCGTGGGTCACCATATAAAATGCATTTCTCACTGTGGATCATGTTCAAAAAAAGCAAAAGGGGGCTACCAGGAACTATAAGAACCGTGTAATCCGGTTGGGAAGAGAAGATGCCCAGATAACAGAAGGTTAAGAGCGCAGGCTCTGGAGGCCGGCTGCCTGGGTTCGAATCCTGCCAGGATCGCACAGATAGTGAGTGACAGAGCTGGAACCTGGGCCTAGGCAGCTGCGACCCAGAGCCACACCCTCCAGCCCCCACACCCCAAATGCATTCTCCCTTAGGGCCAAGAGTCCTCTCAGCAGTAGTTGATTTTCCACCTTACAAGTCTTTTGGGCATGAAGGCTTTTTAAGGGGGAAAGAGCATGGTTCTGAGCAAACCCACTGGAGTCAAATTCTGGCTGTGCTATTTCCCGGCAAGTGGCTATGCCTCAACCTCAGTTTCCCTGATTGTCAGACTGCATAGGGCTGTTGTGAATGGAGAGGAGGAATCTACGCAGTGTTCGCACTGAGTCTGTCACACGGGATGTGCTCGATACCGGCTGCGATTGTCGTCATTGTAACAGTTACAGCATTTTACATGGCAGTTGGGTGTCCCCATCGCTTCCCACCAGACTGGGAGCAGGGCCACCTCTCACACCCTTTGCCCTAATTCCCCTGAGAGTCTTGACATGAGAGCTTCCTGGGCTTCAGAAAAATCACAATCCTGTAGGATTTCAAAACGGATCTTGGGAGCTGTCACAGGCTTTGCTAATTTTTTATTTTGCAAAGTAAGGAGAGCCAAGAAGCCAGTTCTTATGGATTGCCACCATAATTTGATTTAAAAAAATTTTGTTAATGCCAAACTATTGGGAAGCATACAACAAAAAGATTTTTAAAAAGAGTCATATAAACCTAGCTTTATGTTAACTGTGCTCCTTTTTTCTCTTTTCAAAGCAGACCGGTGGCCACATCACCCTACACGGGCAGCAGTCCCAGCCCCACAGGTTGGGAACCTACTCTGCAAAACAGCCACTCGGTAAATATTTGTTGAATTATTGAATTCCAGACTCCATCTCCCTGAGCAGGCCTGGGCCTGCAGCCCGAGCCGCCAGGGCGTGAGCCAGGTGTGCAGCGTTCTTCAGGCCTGATCGAGCTTTGTGCTTTCACACCAGGTCGGGAGGCCCTCTGCAGGGGGCAGCACAGCGCATGGGTGAGCACAGACTGGCATTTGAATCTTTTCCACCAGGGACTCGATCTCTCTAAGCCTTAGCTTCCTCATCTACAAAGTGGGGAGCCGAGGAACTGCCTTGTGGGGAAATTTGTGAGGATTAAACGAGATACAGTACAAGGATTCTGGCCCACAGAAACCTCTAAGCGAGGGTGAGCTGCCACCACCGCCAGCGATGTGGGGTGGGGTGGGGTGGGGTGGCACAAAGTAGCACGGAAGGGCCTGGGCTCAGGGAGAGGAAGGAGGCCTCCCAGCACAGGGAGCCACCCACCCCGATGACCCCCGAGGACGGAGACTGCCGCTCACCTGCTCGAGGTGATAGTGGTCCGCGGGGTATGGGTCGTGGAGGTGGCCCAGGGTGTAAATCCTCCGGTGCTCACAGGATGTGGGGGAGGAGATTGTCCGGGTCGGTTGTTCCCTCTTCTGAGAGGAATTAGAAGAACTGTCTGTAGCTGTCTGTTTAGAGGGAGGTAACCAAGAGTTAATTTGAAATAACCAAACCCACACACCAAACCCTCGCATGCCGTCTGCCCGCCTTGTGGCATCTTGCTGGGCTTCCCGAAATCTGGAGTTTACCCTGGCTGCCCGAGGCGGGAGGACCCCCGAAGGGCGAGATTGTCTAAACATGATGTGGCCGCCAGACCCTGGAAAGTTGGGTTTGTTTTCTCGAATGTGGGAGCAGCGACCAGGCTTTGGGGCCAGGCTACGACAGCAGGCCTCCCGCGGGTGCAGCCCAGTTGGTCAAGGATGGTTGTCCCATTTGTAGCGCTAGTTCCAAGGCACTCTGGCGAGCAGCGGAGGTGCAAACACGAAAAAAATCAAACCCAAATGTTGACATGTGTGGCTAGTCCCAGCCTGAGAAAGAGAGAAGGATACCGTGGGGTATCATGGGTACTGGCTTTCCAGAAATTTTATAGGACATCTTTGAGGTCCACTTTAAACTGGCAGCAAGATGGACGACTGCAGAGGGTTAAGGCTGCCATCAGTGAGGAGGGGCTGGCAGAGCTGTCTCCCCAGCAGCGGTATCCAGTTCAGCCCGGAGCCTACCTGATGGTGTCTTGGGAAGGTGAGTGGATGTTGGGATGGACTGTGGCCAGAGCGCAGGGGGGGCCCACCGCCTCCCAATATATCTACCACCTGGGTGCTTCATGCTCCCGCCTAAGACTCAATGAGGGGGGCCAGGTGATGGTCACCCTCCACAACCACTCCCACCCCCCACATGCTCGTAAAAGACTTAAGTCTTTACAACCAGGGCACCCCACCTTTCACCTCCAAGGAGTCGGGGACCCTTCTCCACCTCCAAACAAACGAAAAGGTTTTTCTTGTATCTAGAAACTTCTTCCTCTCCTTGGCTGGCTGTTGCTCTCATAGTCCCCTTATCTTTTTATTCTACATGTCTTTTGTTCGTGTCATAAATCCTTTTGGGGGCAAGGCAGGGTTTAAACAAATAGAGTGATAGTTATTTTTACCCCTCTGCCCATTTATAAAGAAGTAAATGCTCAGAAAAATGGGACTACAGGTATTTAGGAAAAAGAAGACTCATTTCCATTATGCAATAAACTGCTGTTAATTTTTAAAACTTGGCGGACATGTGCAGCTTCCCTATAGGACCCAATCTGCCTGGATTTTTCCTACTGGTTTGGTCCAAGTGATGCGGGGCTGATGCCTGTGTCCAGTCCCTCCACCCACAGTGGCTAATCCGGATGTGGACACATGGTCCTCTCAGGCGGTACAGAAAGATTTTTGACGGAGAGTTCAGAAAAGATGCTGACTTTTTACCTCAAGTTATGACCTAAGGGTCCCGTAAGCCTGGAATGGGGGTGAGGGCACTGGGGAAGCACCTTCTGGATGAGGTGAAGTAAAACCTAGAGAAGGCCACCCCCATGGACACCATCTGAGCTTTGGGGTCCAGTCAAGCCTGAATCCTGACCCACTCTTTGGTAACTGAAGCCAGATGTGCTGGGCTCACCACGTGGGCGCACTTCTCCTCCCTCCCGATCCCAGCTCTGAGGCAGCAGCTCCACCTGCGTCACTCCCCTGGCCTCTCTGTGACCCTGACTCCTCTCCACACGGGTGGGGTGGCCTGGGCGTGCAGCCTGCGACCTCCCTCCTCTGCCTCCTGGGAGCCACCCAACTGGCAAGCAGCCATCCTGGGGACTGCGGGGCCCACCGTGGGGAGGCTGCAGACCCAGCACCCCTGTGCCTGGCGGGGCGGGTCCTGAGACACCCGCTTCCTGCAGATGTCAGCCAGGACCATAAAGGGTCCCCCCAACTGGTTCAGAACTCAGATAGGAAAGAATTACTATTAAATATCAGTAACTGCAAGAGACCAAGCTGACACACAAGAATTTTTTCCTTTCTTCCACACTCTGCTTGTTGTCCAGCTCTCACCCACTTTGCTGTCGATCCGACAACAAAGCCCAGGACTCCCCGTTAGGAGAGTGGGTACCATGTGCCAGGGGCTGGGTACACGTGAACAATCGCAGGTAAAATATCGTCTCCACATCACACAGAGGCAGGACCTGCTGACCGGCAGTGGCTAACCCAGGTGTGGACACCCTGACCATCAAGCCCCCTGGAGTTCAGTGCCCCAAACCCTGCTTCTCACACTCAGGTGAGCCCATTCCAACGCCGCCTCTGAGAGGAATTGTGTTCACCTCAACGAAAGTACAACTTCACGTCAGAAGGTGCACCCTGCGTGACAGAACCCAGGAGATAAGGGGATGGCGTCACACGATACAAAGGTTTCCAAAGGTCTCAGTAAGTACTTCCTGAATAAGCAGATAAGGGCCCTCAGTATGACTCAGATCTCAGGGGTTAAATTCTTATCCAACACCCACAGGACGGTCATCTCTGAGGTTAGAAGCTACCCGAGTGCTGAACACGGTAACATGCACTCAGCACTGAGGTCTCGGAAACCAGTTTATACATCGCGGTCACCTCTGTGTTAGTCAGCTGGTACCCTCATCCACCCCAGGGCCAGGTTCACAATGTGTAGGAAGTCATTCTGAGAAATGGGGCACACCCAGTTTTCCCGGTATTCGTGAGCCAATCAGAAATGCCCCCGTCTGACCTCCCTAGGCCCAAACAGCCCTTCCCCCCTGCACGGTCAAGTGCAAAGCTTCCCAAACGTGAGGCCAAGGAAGGCCTTTCAAGGTCTCCTAACCGAGTGACGGATTTGTACAAAGGAGCAGGAAAGCCAGCAAACTTTGAGGTATGCCCACAGCTCACCGCTTCCCGAGGGCCCTGCTGAGGGTACGGCCTGGCCCAGCCCACAGCCTCCCCTGCCAAACTGCTCGGTGTGGGTCTGACTCTGGAGAGGAGAGCCTGCCAGAGAGGCTCCACGGGAAGCCGAGGTTGTGTCAAATCTATACTATCAGACAGATCTTGTAAGCGGTGTGACCTGCCGACAAGAGGAATGTCCTATCAGGGCATCTCCAAGAACAGCGAGGGGAAATACCTCCTACCCACATGCACCGCTGACCTAACTGCTCGTGGTTTCCACTCACAGCCGGAGGACAGCAGCCACCGAAGCTGTGCGCACGCGCACACATCCACAAGCAAGATTCTCGAGTGTCACTGTTACTTGTGTGCACAAGCTCATGACACCTACCCATATGACAGCTTCTCCTTCGACTCGGAGAGACTGCGGCTGCGTTTTAAACTCACCCTGCTCTCCGGAGGGTGCCTCTCAACTGTTGCAGGCTTGAACTCGGGAAGAACAAAAGCAGAGGCCCTCAGCCCCCCTAAGAGGGACAGCTTCAGCGCCAGGCTTCCCCGAGCCACCGCACCTGCACGGGTCTCCTCCACAACCAGCCTCTGAGTTTGACTGACTCAGTGTCAGTGCCCATGATGAAAACGATGTCCAAGGAAGAAGTTTGCAACGTAACATGAGGGCCGAAGAAAAGAAAGGTGATGGAATATTATAATGTTAAATATCAGGGTCTCAGCTCAGGCAGACTGGATTTGAATCATTCTCTGCCAATTATAAATTGCATGATTTTGGTCAAGTTAACGTCTAACTCCAGTTTTCATATCTGCAAAAATGGAGCTGAAATTGTCCTCAGAGCTATTACAAAAATGAAATGAGATTAAACATTCCCATTTTTTAAACTGTTACTGCCGATTACCGAAAAGTTTTTGATTCTGTTGGTTCGGTATCTGGTCACCTCGCTTAACTCCTTATAGAAGTTCACATAGTTTACATAGTGACTTTGGGTTTTTCTCAGTAAATCCTGTTACCCACAAAAGGTAGTTTGGCCTCTTTTCCAGTTTTTATACCTTCTTTTTCTTTTCTTATTGCAATTTTTGCCAGGGCTTCCAGCATGATGTGGAAAAACAGAGGCGATAGTGGCCCTGCTTGTCTTTTTTAAAAATTGATCATATATATATTTTTATTTCTTTATTAATTTCAGAGAGGAAGGGAGAGAGAGAAACATCAATGATGAGAGAGAATCATTGATCGGCTGCCTCCAGCATGCCCCCTACTGGGGATCGAGCCTGCAACCCAGGCATGTGCCCTTGGCTGGAATCAAACCTGGGACCCTTCAGTCCGCAGGCCAACACTCTACCCACTGAGCCAAACCGGCTAGGGCACCCTGCTTGTCTTTTTAAAAGGCACTTTAAAAAATAAATTTCCAATGATTACTGTAAAAACTCACATATTTTGAGTAATTAACAAGCTTGTGTGACCCTCTAATAGGGCAGTAAGCCGAGACAAGACCTTGATAAGGAGAACAGAGAAAGAACAGGAGAGTGGGAAGGGAAGGGAGGTGGAAATGAGAGTTCAGGGTACTGAGATGAAAGGGTGGGCACTGCTAACCTTAGAAACACTGAACAGAGCCCCGACCAGCCCGACCAAATCCACTCCGGTAGTACCAATCCCCATCCCTTCCCTGAAGGGTTTTTGGGTTTGGGCTGGGTGCTTTGTGGGATGTGGGTTCACAGAAGGTGACACGGGCAGGGCAAGGCCAGGAAGCTTCCCTGAGGAAGGACATTCTAGATGGGTAGACAACCCAGACCAAGGCCCAGAGGAAAAAAAAGAAAGGCTCAAATTTATCAGTGAACATCTGATAAACTCCTTTAACTCTGCAGACATAAGTTGTACTTACTTTGAGAATTCAGGTATTTCCTTTGAGAATTGAGATAATTCTCCAGAATTTAATTTAACAAATAAGAGGAAAACCATGGAGCTTCAAAAGTTGATAGACCTTTTTTCTGAAGAACTGACTTGAATGTTATGCTGTCTGGCCAGTAAGTCAAAATCTGAAGTACAAAGGACACTGGGTGGAGGCCGCCTGTTCCCCAAGGTCAGTGCTACCTGTGTGGGCAGGACTTGGTCTGATGGAGAAAGGGGAGAAGATCAATGCCTAAAGTTAAAGCTGTGGCTGGCTCCCTCCTATGTTATGGGCATATTTTGTACAATAGGATTTCTTACTCGTGGAAAGTTGGCTATTCTTCCCTGACCTACGGAGGGCCCTTGAGTTGACTGGGAGGTTCTTAAAGAAGCACGTGCATTTGTTCGCGTGCCCTGGGTCCGGGAACGAGCCTCCTTCATTTGGAAGGTGAACCTCTTTGACCAGGGGAAGCTCAAAGAGGGAGGGAAAAAACCAAGAGGCTAAGCCAGGTAAGAAGGCAATTTGCTTAAATTAAGTTACCCATCTGGGATAGGATCCTAGCTGCAGACCAGGGCTTTCTGGGGCATTCTGGGTGGGTCAGACTATACATTTCGAAGTAAAAGAAGTGTTTTCAGTATTATGTGCATCCCCTTTAACTCCCCTGGGTTTTCCTGCTAAATCCTTGATTTTCCAAAAGGGGTTGGGAGGTACAGAACAAAGGCAGCAACAGCTGGCAGACAGTGGCTAGGGGAGAGAAAGGTGTGTCCAGGGCTGATTTTTCAAGGACACTTGGAACTATTAAGGGGCTCCTGGTTTATAGCTTTCCCCAGTAGGACACTCCCACTGAGTGTATCGGTGAGACTACGAGAAGGCTGGTGTTCGTCAATTTTCTCCTCCCTTCTGGGAGGGAGGCAAGCAAGCAAGTACAGCCACTTGATCATCCCCGTGTCTCCAGAACACGAGCCGACGGAAGAAAGTGCACAGTGCATGGAGCCAAGCCCACTCGGCAGCCACTTCCGGAGGCCAGTGGACCTGGGTGTTTTAAACAGGCATAGGAAAGACAGGTAAGAAACTGCTCAAGGAGCCCGACCACAGCATCTGGGGATCACACAGCAATGCTAGGCAAACATAGCTCAATGCAGAGAGAAGTGGACAACCCTGGTGCCAGGCCATTCGTCTTAGTTGTTGAACTTCTTTGGGCCTCAGTTTCCTCATGTGTAAGATCAGGGGTGCTACTGGGTGATCTCCAAGGTCTATCTGGGCTCCAACAATTTCATGTGTAATCTTCCTCCCTCTTCCTAAGAATATGACAGGTCAGAAGGGTTTGTCTAACACTGTTGCTTAGCTGATTGAAGAGCCACAGGATATATGTCAACTATACCTCAATAAACACAAATAATAAATAAAAGTCATCACCATGCCCCCCACCCCCAAACTGCCAGAGGATTCACTCAGATGATTAAGTAGAATTTCTGCCATCTATAGATGCTGCTATTTTGAATTTTTAAAGATGGATTACTGGGAGTTATGACCACAATTCGTATTATTTTTACTGCAATCCACCACCAAAATAGATCTCGACATCTGATGCATTCTTCCTATAGCAAGGGCTGCTCGTTTTATTTCTTTTAAAAAGTATGCACACACACAGAGTACATATAAATACAAATGTATGCCATTCCTCTCCACCTCGGGCTGGGAGACTAGACTGATCACATAAAACTCTGGGCTGCTTCTGCCTATCAGGAGACAGTGACCTGGATGGCCGAGGGCCCAAAGGCTCCTGGCTCAGGGGGTGTGGATGAGCTGTTGTTTCTAACTCTTCAGCAAAGCATACCTTCTGCTCCGTATCGACCAGACTGACAGGCCTGTGGCCAATCCCTTTTCCTCTGCTAAACAGGAAGTTACCACCAGGTCTCTGGGAACAGGTAGCACTGGCTCACCTGTCCTGAGGGCCTACATGGGTTCCAGGTGTCCTGTTTCAAAGAGGCAAGCAGAGCAGAAAATCAGCCAGGAACATGCTCTTCTATGGTCCCAGCTAGCAGGCAGTTTGGGCCTAGGAGGCAGCTGCTTGGGGAAAAGAGAGAACTCGGTCCTAGGGCATTAATTACCCTCTCTGGGACCCAGGGAATAAAGTGGGCATTCTTTCATTGGGAAAAAATCCTATGTAATAAAAGGATAATATGTAAATTGACCCTAATGGTGGAACGACCAGAATGACAGCTCAACCAGTCACTATGAGGCGCACTGACCACCTCTCTGGCCTTTTCCCCAGCCGGCAGGCTCCAATCGCCTGATGGTGAGCAGGGAACCAGGGGTGGATGGTGGGGGATGCGGGTAGTGCCAGGCCAACCTCTTGGTTCCTCCCCCTGGCTGGCAGGCTCCAATCACTCAATCACTTGATGGTGAATGGGGAACCAGGGGCGGGTGGCGGCAGGGGGTGGGGCTGGCTGCAGGCAGCTAGGGAAGATGGCCCTGATTGTAGGCCAGGCCTAAGGACTGTGCATGAATTTCATGCACCGGGCCTCTAATAATAAAAAAAGGGAAATGTCCACATGTTTAACAAAATTTAATGTGTCTAGATTTTGAAGTCAGGTGAAAGCAAATTTGATATGAAAGGAAAGGACTGATAAGCCACAGCTTCGCTTCACTGGAAGGCTGAGGGATGGGAGCAGGAAGGCTGGGTTTCAGGTAACCCTGACTACGTTCTCTGTATGAATTAGTAAAATGGAAATAATAGTAGCCTACTATCCACAGCTTAAAAAGATGAGATGACATATGTGTAAATGAAGAAAGACACACATGGAAGAGTTAGAGAAATGCCGTTGGCCTTCCTGAAATGGAGAGTGTTGCAAAGCTTTTGTTGGACATTAATTGCTTTAGTTTAGCCACTGTAAGGTATTACTTTTGAATAAAAAGATCCTCCTCTTACTATGTAATGTGAGCTTGATAACTGTCGTGTGGAAGATAAAGCAGCTCCCACCCATGTGGGCCTCCGCCTGCAGCAGTTATGGGGCACAGGGCTGCCCCTCCCAAACATTTTTGCCTTTCTTAACAAAGCACTGTAGACCAACTTCACTACATTTTATAGGATTTACATTTCCAACCTATTTTCTCTCCACGTCTCCCCCCCCCCCGCCCCCAACCTGTCCCCATCCCTTCATTCCTTAGGGAGAGACAACAGAAATGTTTCTGATCAGCTGATCTTCTAAAAGGAGGCTGGGGCTTCGAGGAGGAACCGGGGACCGTCTGCCTACACAGAGGTCTTAAGCTAGTGCCTTAGTTGAAATATCCATCATTTAGGTGGTTCTTTTGCAACAAAGGGGGACTCTGGTACACTTGACAGGTAACATTTACTAAAACGTATTGAATAAGTATTGCCTTTTCTTACAGTTCTGGGTGAGCAGGGTGTGGAACTGAGCCTCTCTGAGCCTGGGTGATTCATCTGCAGACATGAAGTGCCAGGAGGTTACCTCCCAGGTGGCTGGAGGACAGATGCAGTGATGTATGTGCCAGTGTGGGCCTAGCGCCAGGGCAGCTCCACACCCCAGTTCCTCTCCCTCCCCTCCCCTCCCCTGGGCCAGCAGACAGAGACTCAGAAGAAATGTGTCCACCCTGAGGTTTTGTGTTCAAAGGATCAAGGGTCACAGCTAACTCACGGCAGCACCAAGTTCAGAACCCAGGCCGGCCTCTCCCTCACCTCCAAACGCCGCACTCTCAGGGGTCACACACCACTTCAGCTTTTAAAAACACTCTTAGAAAATCAGTAGGTGAACCCCCTTTCATTACAAAATTGGTCGATATGCCTTCAGTTTTAATGTTTGTTAGGGCTGAATTAGGTGGAAAAATTTTGTGGTATTCTGCACTCTTCTGCTTCTGTAAGTGAAACCTAGGTAATTACAAAATTCAATGAATGTTTTTTCTATTTAAGAATGAAAATAAGGACAACTTGCAAATACTCAAAAGCCCATCTAGGATAAAACAAAACTGCTTCTCAGTACTTTGGTTTCAACCACTTGCTCTAACCCTCGCTTTAGCGAACACCTGGGGTGGAAGGGGTGAGGTACCATAGCGGACAACTGCTCTGAACAGCCGGAAGGTAACAATGCAGCTTGTAATAAACAGGATGCCGGGGGGCCAAGCACAGGGCACGGGGCAGGACCAGGTTTTCCAGTTTGGGCAAAACATGGCTAGAAACTGATGATGTTCGAAAAGACATGACATTTTTCCTATCTAAAGGAGGACTGCCTACCTAAAGGAAGAAATACAGCGAAACACCAACACCTAATCCAAATACCAGCCTTTTCCAACTGGGTTCTAGGAGAGTTCAGACCCGAACAAAATCACTGAATGACTCTCCTCAATTCTGCAAAGGACATTACACAGTTAGCACCATTCTAGGTGCGCAGGACACGTTAACTCATTATATGAGGATGGATTCCTTAAAGTGCTAGGGCTTAATAGAGAAGAATTGATGGAGAAGGGCTGTCCAAATCCCAAAACAGTACTTAGGTGGAAGTAAACCTAGAGGGTGGGAAAAAACCACCCAACCCTATACATGTAGGCTAGGCCTTGCTATGGTCAAGCTCCGAGTTGCCATCTTGGGGACCGCAGACTGTAACACCCACTAGGTAGCTCCCAGTCCACCACATGAATGGGTCACATGGGCATGAGCCACATATTTATTCTCTTGTCTCTCCCTTTTCCAACTTGGGTCCAAGAGAACCCTAAGATAGAACTCTTATATTTGGTGGTGGTTTAAAAAAAAATAGAACAGCTGAAAGACCCTAAATATAATTATTCAACAGCAGCAGCGGGGAACTGGGAAGCTGGGCACGAGTCCCCACCATGAACTGGATGTGAGATTTTTAAAAAAATATATTTTGATTTTTTACAGAGAGGAAGGGAGAGAGATAGAGTTAGAAACATCGATCAGCTGCCTCCTGCACACCCCCTACTGGGGATGTGCCCACAACCAAGGTACATGCCCTTGACTGGAATCGAACCTGGGACCCTTGAGTCCGCAGGCTGACACTCTATCCACTGAGCCAACCGGTTAGGGCTGGATGTGAGATCTTAGGCAAGTCACGCGTCTGAGTCACCTGGAAGAACTCACAATCCCTTCCCATTCCCAGACCTGCAATTCTAAGGAGCTGGCTTTTTAGAGCTGCCCTCGCCACCCAGCAAGGCAAATAAATGTCCAGTAACGCCTGCAGCTTATCTTATCTCTAACGTGCCATTACTTCCACAGTGGACATGCAGCTGCCTAGCACCAGGCAGGGAGTACAGCAGGAAGAAGAGCACTTAGAGCCACAAAAGTCAACCTCTTTAATCTCTAAACCTCCAGCGGGGGGAACAAGGATGAGCTGCTATAACTAAGGTGTTCGTCTCCATTCCTCCTTCTCCCTTGACCTCTCACCCACCTTCTGATAAAACCCTTCTCATTCTTAAGAAAAAAAAAAAAATCAATACACGTATGTATATCACTTAATATCTCAAGTAGCAGTCTCGCCCCTCTCCACCTCAGCTTCTCACTCTCCAGAGAAATTAATACACTTTCTACTCCTGTGGCTCTTCTTGTATTTGTCTCCATTTTTTTCAATCCCATGTGGTTTAAACTATTTTCTGATTTGCAGATTTAGATATTATTTAAGGACTGCTTATTGTGGATGAAGATCGAGCCCTTTTATACACCCTCAAGTATCTTCCTATAAAGCAAATATTTCCCTAATCCCCCAGCTTTAGAGCCAGAATCCAGCCACTCGGCACAGTGACAGCTGAAGCACTGACCACACGTGGCCAGATTCGAGGTCGGCTGCTCTAGAAGTATGTGTGCCCTGCAGCTGCATTCTCCAACGATCCTATTAAAACGATCCTTGTCTGCTATGAAGATGCTAATCCCATTTAAAAATTACTTTAGAATTCCGCAGCAGTCAATAAATCACCTGGTTTGAATGGACCAAACCCTACACAACAGGAATTTGGGAAATGGTTCACTAGGTGACCACATAACCCAGAGCCTCTCCAGTGCTAGTTCATTTTCTCTCCTCACTCTGTCCAAGAATCCCTTCCCTGCCGGTTCCAAACCCTCACCTGGAGGGACCTGGGAGGAAGTCAGTTCTAAGTTGGGGAGCAAAGCAGCTCAGCTTATCCACAGAGCTGAACAGCCCAGACCTGAAGTTCACAGGGCCTCCTCCACAGAGACAAAAGCACCCCAGAGGGAACAGACTTGCGGGTCTTTCTCTGCCTCTTGTCTCCCCAGCTCGGAAGGGACAGAAGGGAGAAGCTGCTGGTCAGATGCAGCAGTGAGAGTGTGCTCTCAGCAGTGTACAGAATGTGAACCTTTGTTGTTGTTTTATGTTCTTTGCGTGACTCATCTTACACATTACCAAGTGGCTCAGGCACTGGAATTCCTGGTACCTCCATGTTTAATGCTGGGCACTCCCTTGCCACCAAGGGTCACCCCTTATAATTGAGGTCTCCCTGGAGTGGAGGGGCTGTGAGAGGGCCGTGCCACGAAGGAGAAAGGGGACGAGAGGGTGAGAAGCAGCGTGAGGAGCCAACAGCTTAGAGTCGGTGACAAAGCCCGGGCTCCGCTCCTCGCTGTAGACCGAGCACAAAACAGCTGGAGACATGGCACGCAGTCACCGAGATTCCCTCAAAATCACCCCCTTCCAATGGCTCTCCAAGATAACAAAGCAAATGAATAAAGTAGGAAAACCTGTGATTTTACACACTATACAGTCATCCCCACCAAATGCCATCTATAGGGTCTACGACTTAAAGCAAAATGATGTATAACGAAGCCCATTTTACCACAGGCCATACCAACAATGCAAGAGTGAAGTTCTTACACTGTCTCATTGTCGTTATAACAGAACGACGTTGAATGAAATGCATTACTCTGGGCCTGTTGTATCTGGGGGTCAGATCACCCATTTATTTATTGGGTATTTATAGAGCAAAGCTTTCTAGGGTTGCAGAGACTAAAATAATGAATAACCTGCTTCTAGTTGGACGAAGATTCATTCACTCAGCAAATAAAATAGGAAAGCCAAAAAAGGGGGCAGGCGTTTAAGTGGCGAGAGAAATAAGCAGAGAGCTATGGGACTTTAAACAAGAGAGAACCATCATATTTGGTCGAGGGAGAAATATGAGGGCACATGAATGGATAAAACAGCCCAAACTCAAAGTCGGAATGGTTGCTAATCAAGAGTCTCTGGTGGCGGTCCTGGCTGGAAAGATGTGGACACACACCAGGCTGGTGGCAGTGATGTGGACAGGGGAGCCATGGGAAGACTGTGGAGGCCACAGTGTTGGCCACAGGTGCACAGGCAGGGCAGGTGTGCATACGTGTGAACATGCGTGCACACACTAAGAAGGGCATGAATTTAACTGAGAAACTGCAACATGGCTGTACCATCCTGAGAAGTCAGGCGGAGAAGCTGCTTGGGGGTTAACCATCAGGGCTGGGAAGTATGAGCAGGGACAGCCCATGGTTGGTGAGCACCCAGGCCAGACAGCTACCCCACAGGGAATTGGGCTGCCCCTTCCTCCACCTCCACTTCATTCCCTAATGCAGAATGTGCATCAATAGACTAACCCCAAGCAATCCCCTGAAACAGGGACCCCCTGGCTCCACCAGCAGAAACAGGATACGCTGGTGGTTCCTCCAGTGACACCTCTACAGGTGTTCCTACACACATGCTGTTCTCGCAGGAAACTCTCCTAATCCCATCGCAGGCGGTAAGTTACACTCTTTCACTGATAAATGAGTTCTGAGTTCTAAACGCCTGTCTTACCAATAAAAGGTGTTCTTAAAAAAAAAAGATATTAAAATTGATTTTGAGAGCGAGCGGACACATGGGAAACCTGGTGCGTAAGCCTCAATGACCCTCCTGTCATTACACAGGATGTGTTTCTAACCGTCAATGACCTAATGACTGGGGCCGTCTTGAGAAGGGAGATACTATTGTTAACAGTCCCTTCTTTGTAAACGAATGGCACGAAGGCCACTGGTCCTATACATCAGGGCTACACAAAATGCGAGTAAGTGGGGCTCCTTCTCCCGTGAGTCCCAAGGGTCTGGGAGCAGCAGGGCTGTTTCTACACTTCCTTCCAGGCACTCGGCGACACCCTAGAGCGGCATGTTGATGCCCCGTGGATGAAAGGGCAAAACCAGGAGGACGCTGGCTTCCATCACCCGGCTCCCGCTGCCCTCTCCTGATTCTATAAATCATTCTGGCAGGTAGCTGGGAAGCAGCTGCGGGTGACAGCTCTGCTCTGGAGCACAGGAAGCCACCTTTTAACCCTCCTGCTGTTGTTTGTCTCCCCAAACGTGACAAAGGAACAGATGTAAGCAACATGCCAACTGCTGAGAAGATCTGCTCGGAGCGCCATAGGAAGCCTGCTCAGAGCCACCTCACACCAGCCGCTCCAGGGAAGGACAACTGAGCTCATTTCCTGACACCCCCACACACGTCAGGCTGGGACCCGCAGGCCGCTCACCATGCACATCCAGGCATCCGCCTTCGCCCCTGTGGTTCCCAGCCTTGAAGCCACTTCCCGAGCCCTGTTCAAATGCCGCCGAGGTCCAGGCGGGCCTCCCCACTAGTGGTCTTCTCTGACCTCCCCTCCCGTAAAGTCCCTGATTCAGAGGACTCTCAGTCTGTGCCAGTCTAAGCCTGTCAGAGCCAAGCTCATCTCTGTTCAAACCACCCTGCTCCCTGAACCAGGGCTGTAGCCACGCTTTACACACACCTCTGGATTCCCCAAGTACTTTTTCGAAATCACTAGCTGTGAGGAGTCTATTGGAAAGCATGTTTAAAGGGGTGCAACCAATATTTTAAAATATGAAATAAAAAAACTGCTTATAAAAGATATTCTTGGGACAACTGGGGAACTATTATCCGACAGGAGATTCCTATCAAATTTTCTTAGGTATAGGAATGGTGGTGTGCTTGTGTAGAATACCACCTTATTTTTAGGAGGTGGATGCTGAAGTAATTCCAGGTGACTTATTTTTAAGTCACCTGTTGGGGGGGGGGAGGACGGGGGTGCACATCTCTAAATACACATACATGCACAGATACAGCAAATGGGGCAAAATGTCACAGCTGCCAAATCTAGGTGTAGAGCATACAGTGCTCACTGGATTATTCTGTACATTTTCCTGTGTGCTTGAAAAGTTTCATAATCAAAAGTAGAAGAAAACAAAACAGAAGAGAAAAAAAACAATGCAGAGCATGAAGTACAGTCTGGTTTTAGGTGTCCCTGGATGAGTGTGCCCTGGGTTACAACGTAAATGTATTTCATACTGTAGGTCCAGGCCAAGAGTGTGAAAATGCTGCCTTAGAGCTCTTCACTGCACCAGGCACACAGTAGGTGTGCAATGAACTGTTATTTCCTTTTAGAAGCCCAGGACTTAAATGAAGAAGCTGGCTGAGAAATCATTTTATCTCCAGTTATATCCCATTAACTCAAGCTGTGTCAAAATATCCAAGCCCATTTCCTGCCTTCGCACACTTAGTTCCAACCTCAACTCAGCCTTTAGGCCTTTCTGATCAGTTTAATTACTCATCAGCAAGGCTACTTCTGGTGTTCCCGTCGATGCCAGGGAGGCGGTTGTGTTCCACTCTGAGTAGGGTGACCAGTTGTCCTGGTTTGCCTGGGATCGAGGTGTTTTGTAGGACCAGGGACTTTCAATGCTAAAACTAGGACAGTCCTGGGCAAACCAGGACTAAATCTGAGGAAAGACTGTGCGAGAACCTGGGACAGGTCCGGGAGAGTTGACACTCTCAGGTCATGTGGTGATGTTACCACTGCAACACGAACAACAAAGGCAAAACCCAGCCCAGGAAAAATTGCGACAAGACAGAGATCTCCACGATGGCATCCCTGCTGCAACAGCACATGCCAAATTGCAAAGTGTCTCTCATGCCCTTAACCAGAACCTCTCCCGAGTACTCACCACTAACCTGGAGAGCAAAGGACACAGAGAACGTACCGTAAAGACGTCGTCATCACCAAGCTCAGCTTCATTGTGGATGGTGGAAGATGATGTGGTTGAGCCTAAAAAGACAAAAAATAAATGTAATAAAAAGTGTTTTCAAAGAGGATAAGTCCAGTCCAATCGTTTAAAAGGTAGATTTTAATAAAGCCACACCTCCTTCCTTTCGTATGTAGCTCACTAACAGAGATGTTATCTGGGAATTAATGCTTTTAATTTATTCTTCAATTGACCCTCGCCAGATGCCCCCTAAATGAACTTGGCCGACTGTTGTTCCCAATTAACCCCTTGAACTTCTGCACTGGCTACTAGGGAACAAGCACACAGAGAGGCAACACAGAGGAGGGGCGGTGAGAGCCTGCCCACCGCTTTGCCGTGCAAGGTCAAGACCAGCCTCTGCCAGCGATCCCCCAGGCCCACCAGGGTATAGTAGGGAAAGCACGGGATGGAAAACCCCCAGGTTAGACCCACCACTATCTCACTGTAAACTGGACTTAGCTTTCTAGTCTTTTCATCTACCAAAGAGGGGGCTTGACTCAACAGCTTGTATGGTCCCCTCCTGTTCTGAAATTCAGGCACTGCTGTCTAAAACCCAGATGGTGGGAGCCACCTTCTAAGCCAGTGGTTCTCAACCTTCCTAATGCTGCGACCCTTTAATACAGTTCCTCATGTTGTGGTGACCCCCAACCATAAAATTATTTTCGTTGCTACTTCATAACTGTAATTTTGCTACTGTTATGAATCGTAATGTAAATATCTGATATGCAGGATGTATTTTCATTGTTACAAATTGAACATAATTAAAGCATAGTGATTAATCACAAAAACAATATGTAATTATATATGTGTTTTCCGATGGTCTTAGGCGACCCCTGTGAAAGGGTCATTCGACCTCCAAAGGGGTCATGACCCACAGGTTGAGAACCGCTGTTCTAAGCTGATACCTGGGCAAGATTGTATTCTCTTGCAATACCAGGGTATCAGTGAGTTTTCTGTTTCTGCAGGCCAACATTTAGGCTCAGGTCAGAAAACCAGGTTTATTCCATCATGAAATGAGAGCTCAATTTATTTACCTTTTCATCTCTTCATTCTGGTATGCAAACCAGTAGAAATTCCCATCTTTCCCCCATTAATAGTACCCAGTAATGTGTGGATCAACAAGTGACAGTTAATGGCCAAAAGGAAAAATATTTAAATTTGCATAAGTGATAGACCAAGAGCAATTTATTTTCTACCTTCTTTTTTTCTTGGTTAAGTCTTTAAAAATATGCATTTAGAAAATATTTTGCTACCACATAAAATAGAAATTAAAAGAATTGCTCAGAAGGTCATGGTTCAATTTCCATTGTGGGGCATGCAGATGGCAGCCTATCAATGATTCTCTCTTATCATTGATGTTTCTAGCTCTCTCTCCCTCTCCCTTCCTCTCTGAAATCAGTAAAAATATATTAAAATGATGTTTCTAGCTCTCTCTCCCTCTCCCTTCCTCTCTGAAATCAATAAAAATATATAAAAAGAAAGGGAAGAGAAATATTTAAATCTCCAACAAGGAATCCCTAGAGGAAAAATAAGTTCCATAATAAACTCTGCACAATTCCTATTGATCTTTCAGGGTTTTTCTCTACTATTTAAATTATACTAATTATAACCAATCAATATTTAAGGCAAGTTTGATAGAAAACAGCTAGGTAGAGAATACATAGAAAAAAATGACATGTGATCAATTTTGTTTATAAATTCAGTAATTAAGTATATGGACATACTGAAAACTGCTATCAGTAATACAGGAGCTATTTTCTCTCTATCCATTTAAAAGATATGTTTGATAACATTTTAATATTTGTTACTTAGGTAAGACCTATGATGTAAATACCAGTTTTCATTGGCTATCACGTGGTTGTAGTTAACAGATTCATGTTCCAGCTATAATTATCTTACTACTGATGTTAAGCAGCTTTTCATTGAAAATTTGCTTTTCTCTCTTTCCACAAATCCATAATGAAGAAAATGACTTCTGAACACTTTTATTTCTTAAATAGATGAAACAGACATTCTTTTCTGATTGATTTTTATTTAGTTTTTATAATTAATTCTGAGGTTGGCTTTTGCTTGATATTTCTTTCTTCATGGTTGTGGTACCAGTGACCCTCTGGTTTGAGAACTGAATGAGTTACAGTGGAGAAGTCGTGTGTTTGCATCTGTGGACTCTAGAAAAGCCTATGAAAATCGATGGCCTAGGACAGTGGTCGGCAAACTGCGGCTCGAGAGCCACATGTGGCTCTTTGGCTCCTTGAGTGTGGCTCTTCCACAAAATACCACGTGCGGGCGTGCACGTTCAATGCAATTGAAACTTCATGGCCCATGCGCAGAAGTTGGCATTTTGTGGAAGAGTCACACTCAAGGGGCCAAAGAGCCGCAGTTTGCCGAACACTGGCTAGGAGCCTTCCAGGCCAGGATCAGATGTACACAATGTCTACTAATCACTCACCACAGAGTAAGGCCTAAACCAAACCAGGGCTCCGGGAGTCACAGATCCCTTTCATATTCGGTGGCAGCTGCACACCTGGGCTCTGATCGCAAAAGGGCAGTGGGTAGGCCTGGAGCCCTCTGGGCCCATTTGAATCTAGTCTCCATTTTTGAGCCATGACCGATAGACAAAGCCGTTTCAATCGTCAGGGAAAGGTGAACTCCATCAAACACGCTTCACATGGAAGTCTCGATCTTGTCTTTTCAGAGCAAAGTCTAAAAACCAGTTGGGACCACTTCTTACTCAGAAACCCATCTCCCCCCCCCGTTTTCTCACTTTGTAATTGTTTTCCTTGGATGTTCCTAACGTTTTGGCTCCTAATGATTGACCTGGCCACCAACCCTCCTTCTAATAAACCACAAATATATGATGGTAGACAACAAGAATGAAAAATAACTCAGAAAAGTAACACAGTCCCACTAAGAATGCAGTGACAAACTCAATACCTTCTATAAGGTCTTCGATTGCTTTCCTCACTCCCCTGTCAAAGGCTCGAGCATCGGCAGGACTTTGGAAAGTAAGTCCAAACTTCCTATTGTCGACCTTCCAATGATGAAAGGTTGGGTTGGCTTTGGTGTAGACCAAGTCCTTTCTTACATAGCATTCCAATACCACCTGAAGGATTGAAACACACAGGCTGGTTAACTTGTGAAACAGTCATGCTGGTGTTTGGTTACAAAACTCTAACTGGGAACTGTCCATCTTTGGTGGCAACTAATGAAAACCCTCCCCTCCTGCCTTCAGGTATCTGTGAGTCTCTTCATTGGAAAGGCCTTTGCTTGCCTCTGTGGACCATCCATCCACTCTTTATTGGCCTGTCACCCTACTCCACCCCCCAACCCCCTTCCCCTTGGTGATCCCACTGTACTGTGGTACTCCTCATTCCCCTTCATCTCATTCCTCTTCCTCACTCCCTGATTGTGGGGCACTAAGCTGGGGTCCAGGTCTTGGGGCTTTGCTCTGTTCCAGGTGACTGATTCCATGCCAGGGCCTTTGTATTAGTGGCTCTCAACTTTCCCTCCTCTGTCCTAATGGGTGTTTCCTGGTGACCTCAAATCCAACATGTTGAAAAACTAACTTAATCTGCTCTGAAATTTCTGCCACTAGCTTCCTCTTCCAACTTCCCCACATCTAGCAATGCCAATCCCTCTTGGTTCATTCTCTTCGGTTTAAAATCTCCGTGGTTACCTTTGCCTCTTCCTCTTTCTCTGCCCCCTGTATTATTAATCACCAAGTCCGTTTCATTTTTCCTTCAATATCTTTTATATAAATTCATTTAAGTTGCTACTACCCTGATCTGGGTCTCTATTAACCTTTTATCTGCATTATTAGAACAATCTCCAAGTTTCTAGCCATTTAGCTTCAGAACTGCCTTTAACTAAGCTATAACTTTGCATAGATTGTCTCAGACCCTTGGTCTTTTTATCTCTAAAATGGAAATAACGCTAATATTATCAGTGTGAACATATACAGCATAAAAGCAGCATTGCAATCATGTGAATGTAAATTCCCTTCTTTATTCACAAAAAAAATCTCTAAAATATCAACAATATTTATTCCTATGTACACCAAAATAATTTTGCTAAGTGTTATTAATAGCTTTGATTTTGTTCTGGTGAAGCTCTTCATTGAACCAAATGAAATCTTACTAAGAGAAGGGAAAGAGTAAAGGCCTGCCTAAATTAGTATAAATTCAAATTAGAGACTATTCTTAAATGAGTTCAGGTTTCAAGGATACATCTAAGCAAACTAAGAAATTAAGTGCTGCTTACTAAATGTTCCCTAATTTATAAACAGATGAAAACAACAGTCAAATTGGTATATCAAGTAGCAGTCCCAAGCAGTTAACTTTATTACATTGTATTGAAAGAAGACAACAGTCCTTTCACACAGTTCTATTTATGATTAAAATGCTTATTATGGCTGTTTCCCCCTAAGAATAGTGCGATGGTTAAATGTCAGCCCAGCCCCATTCCTAATTGGGGAAATCCAAATAACCAAGGCTTTAACTAACAAATGTTATCTATTTTAGAATTTAATAGTCTCAATTCAAAGTCTCAAAATAAACTTTTTGTAAAAACAAAGACTTCCAGTTTCTCCATATTTATAGCATGAAAAAATTAGTCTTCGTTTGACATTTTCCAAGATTAAGATTATTACAACAGTTCATTTTCTTACAGAAATTTAAAAAAAATGACATCATTACATATCTAAGTTTAATGACAAAAATGAAGAAGTTCAGATGCTTTCATCTTACCAATAGGTATAGTCCCTCTAATGAAGTTTAGGCATTAACTTAAAACTTAAAAATATCTTTTTAGTCTGGCTGGTGTGGCTCAGTGGTTGAGTGCTGACCTATGAACCAGGAGGTCATGGCTCGATTCCTGGTCAGGGCACATGCCTGGGCTGCGGGCTGGATCCCCATTGTGGGGCGTGCAGGAGGCAGCCGATCAATGATTCTCTCTCATTGATGCTTCTATCTCTCACTCCCTCTGCTTTCCTCTCTGAAATCAATAAAAATATATCTAAAAATAAAAATATATTAAAAATTATTGAAGCTTGACCCTTGAATGGACATCTTTTGTGTGATGAAGTGGCAGTACACATAATTGGATTCTCATCTCTGCTTCTGCGTCCAGTCTGCTGTAATGTTACTGGGGTTGCAGTATATGAAGAAAGCCTGGATTTGCGCAAATGCGGTTGGGAAAGGGAAGAGGATTTCTAACAGCCTTTTCACTTCTGCTGCACAGGGAAGAATGACAACCGTCTCAAGGAAAAGCACTAGCGCAATTAACTACTTCAGTTGTGAGTTGACCTGCCTGCTTTTTTCATGGATTTCCTTGAAAGAACCACTGACAGATGAACTACGGTTACTCAAACGTGTGTATTTGGCAGATCTTTTCTTTAATATGAGCACAGTGAGCCCGTCACTTCCAGGAGAACAACTGGAGTTATTTGTTGCCAATAATAAAATTTGAACTTTCAAGCGAAAGAATTGTGGACTGCTCCCCAACACTGCAAGACGTTTCAAATGAGATTAGTGGTGACATTGTGATTTTTGGATACGGTTGGGTTAAATGTACCAACATTTGGAAGATCTGCTTAAATCATTATTTTCCAAATGACCAATGCATGATGTTACCAAATCAAGAGTAAAAGATGTCATCAGAGTGAAAGATAAACCAGTGGATTTTATTGTAAGAGTATGAAAAATTCATTGATACGGCTTCAGATTCCACATTCATAAAACTCTACAAGCCAAGTTTTGGTGTAGAATCAAAAAAGTATGTCTATAATTATCTGAAAAGATTAAAGTACTTCTCCCTTTTCCAACTACCAACCTGTGTGAAGCTGGATTTTCTTCAACCAAAACAACGTATTGCAAGAGACTGAAAGCAGGATAGACACCAGAATCCAGCTATTTCCCATTAGCCTGATATTAAAGAAATTTGCAAAATCGAAATAATCCTACCCTTCTCCTATTTTTTATTCTGGAAAATAGTTATATAGTTAGTTCTCATAAAGAATGCCACCTATGCTAAAACTGCTACTTAAGATTAAAAATTTTTCAGTTTGAATTTCTAAAATGCTAAATATTAGTAGCTATACCTCACAGTCAAAAGATTTTTGGGGTCCTCGATAAATTTTCAGTGCAAAGGGAGCCCGAGACCAAAAATGCTCGAGCACTGTTGTTGTCCACAAATCTTTGCAGGCGAGTCTATTTTTACAGGACAGGGCTCAGGTGTAAAACTGCCAGGTAAAAAGGTATGTACCTTTAAAACCAATCGATATCCTGCCACACTGCCTTTCAAACAGCCCTGCCAGCTGGAGCTCCCACCAGATGGGAGCACTCCTGGCCTGGGCACGGGGGCGAATGGAATGATCAACCTTTTAGCTTTTGTGGTTCATTTTCATAAGGTGGTTCTCACAGGATTTGTTTCAGGAGTAAACTCCTCTAATACATCTCAAATAAGATTGAACTCAGAAATTTTCAATTTACATATAATTGCTCAGGATTGTCTCCAACTTACAAAAAATGATCCCAATAACACCTTGTGAACGGATGTCTGGGACCCAGACTTGCCATAGAAACAGTGGCAGTTGAGTTCACAGGCCTCAACATGTTAATTCAACACCAACAAAAACCAATGTTTTGAATTTTAGAACTGCACTACATTGGAAAAACCACTGACAACACGGTTTCTGTCAGAAAAAGCACTTCCTGTCCTAGCTGGAATACTGGGGATTCTGATACCATCCATCCACTCTATTCCAAAAATGATCTCCACTCTTTTCTCCAAATCCCACCATTTAGGGGTGTGTGTGTGTGTGTGTGTGTGGGACAGGGCAGAGTGAGGGAGTAAAGTACCACTGAGTCTAGAAGTCCAGAATTTCCCAGAGTGTGGCATAGGTAAGGTGAGGGATGCCAAGATGGAGTAGCATAATTGGGTGTGTGATTTAAATACTAGTGGATATAAAAGTCCAGAAGCGTAGAGTCAGAATGCAGAAGGTCAGGAAGGGGACAGAGTGACGGAGAAACATGATTGGGGAGAGGGTGAGGCACACAATCCTTTTACAACGGAAGCCGGCCCGCAAGCAGGACTGCCCTGCTGCTGTGCGGAGTTAGTAAGAAGGGACCAGGTTTTGGCTTCACAAGGAAATGGTTCCCAATGCTGGCTCTGCTGAGGCTGTGTGCCTAGACAGAGGAAATGCGTCACTTCTGAGAGCACTGAGTTCCCACAATGTGGACATAATAGTATCGCCCCCTACAGCATGTTGCAGGGATTTAACTGAGGTGATTTACATAAGGGCCCTGAACAAAACCGCAAAGGTTTATTATGTATGTCAGTGGTAAGATACAAGTTTATAAATGTATTTATAAAATGAAGGCGTTGGATGAGACAAGCTAAAGGCCATTTTAGGTTGACATATTCTATGACAAACCATAGAAATACCAGGAAAAAAAACACATCTAAAATAATATAACCATTCAGGTAAGATAATCTGTTAACACAAAAGTAGTAACAATAAAAAGGGTAAAAGGGGGAACACGTTTCTTTCAAAATGTTTGTAGAAAAAGAACACCAACTAAAATAAAAAGGCAACAAATGTGGCAGATGAAGATTCATATCCTTCTTATATCAGAGGGCATACATACACATGAAGGAGAAAAGTAAGGTCCCAATAGATCAAACATCATTAACAGATAATTTAGTTGTCACTGTTTAACAAACAGAAAAACATTTGCTCTCATCAGATACCACCGATAATCTGTCAAATTGGTGAAGATGTAAAGTATCTGATCCTTATTGTGTTAAAGGATATTCTCATAATGGTCGCAGCTCTTCGTACAATAATCAAGTCATAAAAATGTGCCCCTTAAGTTATTCCAAGAAAATAAAAATGTGGAAAATGCAGGTAGGTATCTACAAATGCAGAGAGGTAATCCTAGGGGAGGGAGCCAGGGGGAAGAACCTTAATATTTGACACTAAGGAGATTGTCAAATAAACAAAAATAATCAACCTGATAACAGCAACATGGAAAGTTGCTTACAATAATGTTAGGGCAAAACCAATGACGTGCAGAACTGTTCATGAGTTCGGATTATGGCTAGGAAAAATAAAAATATGAATGAAGAGGAAAAGCTACATCAGAGCTAAATAAAGGTGGTTGTGCACATGCGACTTTGGCTCAGTTTTGGGGTCAGAGTGACAGAGTAGCAAATACTGGTTCCAGACTCCAAGATGAGTCACCAAGAACAAGCAGTCTTTCCGAATCTTAATTTCTTCAGGTCTGACTGCACAGGCTACAAGGACACAATGATGCAATCTAACTGCAGAGCTAGCACAGGGTCAATGCTATATAAAGGGTAGTTATTTTATATTGATAGTGTGGTTATACTGCCTTTATTGTGAATATCTTATAAACGAGAATGTTTAATTATTTGACTATCATGTAGAAAATTTCTTAGACACATTTTCATTTATTTTATTTTTAGAGATAAATCAAGTGTGAAAGCAGCATTTCTATTAATCCATATATAATATTTACAAATTGTTCTGTCTTATTTCATAACTTTTAAAACAATAAGTGTTTGTAAAATATTATATTTGTGCGCTTAGCACCTCATCAACTCAACAGACACCACAGTAAAGGGCTCCAGGTGTAACACTGACATGCCCTGCAGTGTCTCTGTGTTTTCTCTGTTGAGATCCTGTACCATCTGGCACATTCTGAATCATCTGATGGCTTTTGAGCATATACTCCATGATTAAGTACAGATAGGGGCAGTGTTCTTCCAGGTTCACACCACCAATCACAAATAGCGTTAGCCCGGCCGGCATGGCTCAGTGGTTGAGCGTCGACCTATGAACCAGGAGGTCACAGTTTGATATCCGGTCAGGGCACATGCCCAGGTTGTGGGCTTGATCCCCCAGTGTGCTGCTTGCAGGAGGCAGCCGATCAATGATTCTCTCTCATTATTGATGTGTCTATCTTTCTCTCCCTCTCACTTCCTCTTTGAAATCAATAAAAAAAAAATTTTTAAAAATAGCTTTAGACATTCAATTTCCCTTCATAATATAGAATTGGACATCCAAGTTCATTCATGCAACTGAGTGGATTATCCATGTGCCCACCCCTGTGAGGTCATGATTACACTCCAAAGCGTATATATATGTGTGTGTGTGTATGTATGTGTGTGTGTGTGTGTATATATATATATATATTTTTTTTATTTTTTTATTTTTTTTTGACCAATACAAAAGTTTATTTAACAAAAGTTCAATGTGAAAATGGACTCTATTTTTATATTGTACTAAAACAGGTGCTATGGAGAGGGGACATGTGGAAGCAGTTGATTTCTCTGGTAACTATAGCCATTCTTCATACTCGTTCCAAGGTTTCTAACATGATGATACTATTTCCTCGTATTACCACCATTCCAATATTGTTCTGTTGCCCACCAGTTGCCATCTCCACACATTCATCTATCACAAGATTCATAAAGGGATCAAATCCCCGTAATATTCCTTGGACATGTCTGCCACCATTTAATTTCAATGATAACTCCTTGTCCATAAATTTTTTTAACTCGGGAGGGTGAGCTTTGCTCATGGTGGCCAAGTGAGCTCAAAGATACTTCCAAAGCGCATATTTTTAAGCACGTAGAATTAGTATGGAAGGGTGATACCACTACTTTTTGTTACTTTCTTTTTCCAAACATGTTTTATTCATTACCTTATGGAATTAAAGCTACACTATCTTTTAGCTAAACATGTATTTAGAAGTAACCAAATATCAGGTGGCCCCTTTTCTTTCCACCAACCAACCAATCCTTGATGGCACGCTCCATAAAAAAAACAACCCTACACTTTTAAAAAGTCTGACTTCACAGCTCACTACAATCTGATTCATAATAAAGAACCCACTTCTGTTTTGAATATCTTGTTACAGTGACAGAAAGACAGCTTAATTAATCAAAGATGCAAACAAGACTGCCGAACATACGGCCTCTGAGCATCGAGTTATACGGTGTAAAAAGTGACTTTGCTGGAAAGCCAGGGTTACGTTTTTGTAACTTGGCACCAGCTCCACACTTATAACTTTGGAAGCTTTCATAAGAGTTTGGGGTCAGAGAAAGAAGGGAAGAAATATCCTACGGGGAGAGGGCTGTGATTTAAGGCAAAGAAATCAGTCATTGCTGATTTAACCCCCGCCTCCCCCGCCTGCCATTACCAGTTTGTCTTTCTGCCGTTCACCATGGATGAGAAAGCCGCTTCGTCCATTGCTTCGGGGTGCATGACCTTACAGACCCCCACGCGACTGATCCCGCCTCCTTCCTGTGGGAACCATCCCCCGCTGGAGTCATCTCTGGTCATAACCACAGCCTTGACACGCACAATATAGCTGTCACTAAAACGACAACAAGAAGAATGGGGCATGACAATGGTCTGGCAGTTGCAGGACATGTTTCACAAAGCAAGATGCCAGCATTTGCTGGGCTCATCGACGGGAAACCTATGCCTGGCAGCAACCTTCAAAGGCAGCCCATCTCAACTTTCAGAGAAAAACCCAAACTTTAGTTAAACTCAATATAAATGTACATTTTAAAAAAAGATGCCCAGAAACTAAAAATATTTGTGAGTTTTTTAAGATGTATGTCCAATTTCTGGGTGGTAAATATTAATGATAAAACAAATGAGCTGGCCCGGCTGGTGTGGCTCAGTGGTTGAGTGTCGACCAAGGAACTAAGAGATTGGGGTTCAATTCCAGGTCAGGGCACATGCCTAGGTTTCAGGCTTGATCCCCAGAGTAGGTGTGCAGGAGGCAGCCAATCGATGACTCTCTCTCATCATTGATGTTTCTATCTCTCAAAAAAAAAAATCAATAAATCAATAAAAACATTTAAAAAAACAAACCCACACAAATGAGGTGATCTCTATAGTTTGGTATCATACGTTAGGAAAGACAAATCTATTAACTTAAAAGGATATTTTGGTTTCAACCATTAAAACTTAGTTTATAATGCCAAGGTTTAACATTTTATAAAACTAATAATCCTCTGATTTAGCATAACAATAGGAGAATCCTTTTCCAAATCACAAATTCACTATACAATCACATATAGGTGGGAGATATTTCAATTTAAGTGCCCTTTACACGTGTGTAACCTCTTGATTCTATTTTTCCAGGCTAAATTTCAATTTCACATGAAGTTCTTTTGCACAGTTGCCAAACATCCTCTTTCTTCTCCAGAGACCAACTCTAGCTTCTTTTCATTCTTCTGTCACTTTGCGGAAAATTTATTTGGATTTTCAGCAAGGCCATTAAATCTCACTTGCTGCTCTCTTTCTTTGGAAAGAATTCATTTTTTACTCATTCAAACATATATCCCCGTCTTCTGTACGCCAGGCACTGTGCCAGATTCCAGGGAACAAAGATGCAGAGTAACACAGAACCCCCTCCCTGCGCCTTCCGGCCGGCGCTGAGCCTGGCCACGCAGTCTGCAAGCTGCTGGAGACCATTTGGACAGTCCCTCTGCCCCACGTCCCTGGTCCCCTTACTCACCCAAAGACAAAGCCACCTAGATTCCATGGTTCCCTGGAGAGCTTCCCCTCTACTGTGACCCAGCTCCCTTCCCACTGTGCCCATCAGGTGTCTGACACCCCACCCCTTACCTTCTTATCCCTTCCTCAGCCTTTTTTTGGGTGGTAAAATATACATAAAGTGAAATTTACCATTTTAAATGTACAATTCCATGGCATTAAATTAAGCACATTCACATTGTTCTGCAACCATCCCCATCACCCACCTCCAGAACTGCTTTCATCTCCCCAGACTAAAAATCCATACTCACTAACTCCCCATTCTCTCTTCTCCCCAGCCCCTGGCAGCCACCATTCTACTCTGGGTACCTCATGTAAGATCCTTTCACTTTCTTAACCTCAAGGCACAGGTGCTCTGGGCTGAGCCTCGGGGCCCACACACACTGGGCTGCTTTCTCACCTCTGCTGCAGGCCAGTGGCCCTCTCCCCAGTTCCTCTGAAGCTCCCGAGTCTGCCCATGCCCCCACTACCCCTCTTCAATCTTCCACAGACCTCGGGGTCACTCCCCCGCATTCCTTGAAGACACCCATTGTCCCTCCATCTCCCCACCATGATCCCCGTCATGATTCTTTCTAATTTCATTATTCACCCAAAGGATCCTTCCGATTTCTTGGCCTCTCAGTTTCTGGAACTCTTCTGCTCCTATGACCTGGTCTTCCACCCAACCTCTCCCACCCATGCCTAGTCACAGCCTTAACCTTAAACAATAGCTGTACAACTTCCATGACCTCAATTCTAACCATCCTGCCCTCCAGCCACTACCTCCCGAATTTGCTCCTTCCCTCCCTCAACTTCAGTAACTGCACCCACTGGGGCCAAAATCTAGTGTTATGACACCCCCCCCGCCCCCCCCACACACACAGAACTCCGTTCCCCACCCCTTTATGCTCTCACTTGATTCTCTACCCAACTTCAGCTCCATGGTCTATCATGACACTCTTTTGCACAAAACCTTAACACATTTGTTCTCTCCTCATTTTAATTGCCTGGCGAAACCCCAACTCGGGAAACCCCACCATCTACTCAACTCCATGCTCGCACCCAGGCTGCTGAATTGAATATGGTTAGAGGAAAACCCCCCACTCTGTTTAACTTATAGTTCTAGGGTGGAAGTCATAAGCACTAACCTCCATGGGTCCTGAAGTGCCGCCCAGCATCTGCTACATTCCCCGAGTCCGTCCCCAAGATCACTTCACGTGTCCTCCTACCACCTCCCTCTCAGATGATGGATGAGCTCGCTTTAATGTCAGTGAGAAAATAGACACCATCAGAAAAGACCCTGCACCTGTGCCCACCAGCACGCCGATGACTCTGGACCAGGACTCTCTGCCTCTCCTTTGGTAACTGGCTAACCCGTCCATGGTCCAAGCCAGGGTCAACAGCTGCAACGGTCAGTTCTGGCTATGTGCCAACAGTGGCCACATTCATGTTTCTATCCAGACCTCTTCTCTAAGCTTCAGAACAGTAAAACCAACCGCCTATGATTTCTCTGCTCGGGTATCTAGTAGGCACATCAATCAGCAGGTTGAAATCGTGATTCCCAACACCTTCCTATCCAGGAGGTTCTCCCTTTGACACATATCCAGAACCCACATTTTACTACCTCCCTCAACTTTGCCCTGAGCCCAGCTGTCACCACCTCTCAGACTATTGCAGTAGCCCCCTAACTGGCCTCCTTACTTCCACACATGCCCAACTTTCTAAGAAAATAGACAGGTGACTCAGAGTATGACACTTGACTCAAACCAACCCTGCAACATTTCTTTATTATTACTCTGAGTAAACGTAAAAAATCTAGCACTTATCTACCACTCTCCTCCTTGCTCATTCCACATTAGTTCCACTGTCCTTGAGGGCCCTCCACATGAAGCACATTCCTACCTCAGGGCCTTTGCACATGCTTAAAACGCCATTTCACTCTTCTCCCCACACAAACTAGGTTCATTCCCAAGGTTAGTTTCATCATAGAAGACTTCTCTGTCCACTTTATATACAGTACCGTGCACTCCTCTTCAATCTTCTCACCCTGCTTTGTCTTTCTACATGCTGCTAAGTCTACCCCTGCCCTATTTGTCCACCTTCCCCAACTAGAATGTACACTCCATGAGAGCAGGGACTTTGCCCCTTTTGTTCACTGCTATATCCCTAGAGCCTAGAACGGTGTCTTACACGTAGTAGGTGGTACAGTGATTGGGTTAAATACACAATATTTATCAACAGGTTTAAAAAAATAATTTGTAGCTAACAGAATTCCTGAGAAGACATGAAGTGTTCAATACCCTTTTGCTTATGAGCCATAATAGTTTAATTGGGATCAGGTAAAGATTTCCTCTTCATTAAACAGGAAAACTGGCCCTGGCCGGTTTGGCTCAGTGGATAGAGCGTCGGCCTGTGGACTGAAGAGTCCCGGGTTAGATTCTGCCCAGGTTGTGGGCTCGGTCCCCAGTGGGGGGCGTGCAGGAGGCAGCCAATCAATGATGCCCTCTCATCATTTATGTTTCTATCTCTCTCTCCTCCCTTCCTCTCTGAAATCAATACTGAAATCAGTAAAAATGTATTTATAAATAAATAAATAAAAATCACATCATTAATCTATTTTAGGATCCCACATGCATATTCCTTTAGATCATAGAGATTAAGAACATTTTTTACATTTGTTTAGATTAGTTGCATACAAACATCTTGAGAATATCTTTTTTTCCTCCAATACCTCATCTTCTCTAGAAAAAGGAAGGGTCCCGGGATGTGTAAAAGCTGTGGTATGAAACTCAGCTTTTCAACTCTCCGGTAAGTGCACTGTGGGTTCATCCTGACGGGAAAGGCCAAGGTGAATAACTGAAACTCCACACACCTCTTATTGAAACATGCTTTCACTGTTTTGGTGTTGCAGCTGTGTACTGGTCTCCTTTCGAGTGGATTAAGTATGAAAAAGGAAGTTTGCATTACTTATGCTAGTGTCATAAACTTATTTCCAAAAAGTATTCATTTATTAGAGATTTTTAAAAATGCCCCACCCCTTGGCGTCCAGACCACAGGGGCTAATTTGGGCCTTTGCTTTTGGGTCTGCAGCATCCTCCTTCCTGCCTTGATTCATCTCACGCCCCTTCCCGAGGGCGTCTGCGTGTGACGGCCTGCGTGTGATGGGGCTGGGAGGACAGAAGTCCACCCCCCACGCCCCTGTCTTCTCTGGTAACAACTCCGATAGCCAGCATTAACCGAGGCATCTGGCTATTTAAAACGAGGTGGGGAATAAAGTGCTGCACTAAAAGCTGCGAAGGCTGTCTGGATAATCCAGCTGCATGGCTGCGTGCCAGCTGCTTCCTAGCTGTGGTGTATTTACGTTACCCAGGCATCTCACCCCACCCAGAACAGACACGACAGTGAACTCTACTACCAGAAGGTATAGGGAGGAAAACTCCCTTCCCACCTTCCCTCCTCTCCTTCTGGAAAGAATTAAGCAACATGTTTAAACCAGATGTGGGGGTGGCTGGGGGGAGGAGGGGAGCAGGAAGGGCAAAGGTAGGTTAGTGTTCTGATGTGCACAAGGAATATGCTGCTAGTATGCCTCAGAAATTTTACAAAATAATGTTATTTTTGTCAAAAATAACAACAACAAAAATGCTTCTGAAAGTTTCAACGGCCAAACTAGTGTAACCGATTAAGGACCTGGTGATGTTCCAGACGTGGGTCCAGACGCCCACTGAATGGAGCCCTCGTGTCTGAATTTGAGCTAAACTGCCCCATGGAATCAACGTCAGTACAAATGGTGTTTGACTCCCACCATCCAAACAATACCATCTTCTTTAG